AAATAATCTGTCATAGGGAACCCGAAAGGGGCGCTGTGGGGTGCTAACACCTTCCCCACGCGTAACCGACTCCCTTACCCAACTCTGGTTGTAATGGCCAAAGTTGATTTGTAAAATCAATTGCCTTATCCCTTTTTCCAATGTTTTGAGTAAAACATTGGTGGCGACTCCACGAACCCCTCCTTTTGCGAAAACCACTAATCCATGGAGGGTCCCGCTTGGGATTAATATGGATTGGTGAATCATTTAATAAAATTGCTCGTTTGACAAGGTCTCAGTTTGAGAATACGTCATTCTAGCAATCCATATTTTTAAACAAATAAACGAGTCCAAACCATCCTTCGCGAATGCCGAAAGCCCGTTTCGGGCCGGTGGCGACAAGCAGCGGTCGTCTCGTCGGCCACCGCCTTGCCGCGCGCCTTGCCCTTGCCCTTGGCTGGCGCAGAAAGTGTGGCACTATTCTCGCTAGCCATCAAAAGACGAAACGACTCAAAAGGGGGAAAGTGGAAGGAAGAAGGAAACCAACGGAGAGAAAGAACGAGGAAGAAGGTAGAGTAGGGGAAGTACTTGGTACTCCTCAGAAAATGACCTTAACAATGACTCGATTGCTAGAAATAGCGACGACAGGGCACAACGGAGTCACTAAGAGAAAATGGAGATGAAGGTAGGCGATGAAGAGAAGAGCGTACGAGGAAAGATAAAGATATGAAAGTGAGATATGTGCGTAGAGGAGAGGGAAAAATGGTTTCAAAACGAGAACGTGGACGGACGTGACACGAGGGCAGAGAAACGACAAAAATAATGGGCATTAAATGAAACCCATTATGATGGGTAAAACCATAATTACAAAACCGTCAGTACCCATTAACGTGCCTGATGGACTCCTTCCACCAAGGGGATGATCAAACGTTCAATGGTGAAGAGCAGCTCCTTTCCAAGGTCAAGATGGTGACCTTAGAGGGTGGACGTTCCTTCAAGGGTGAGGCGCCGCCCACGCGTTTCAGAGAACGAGGTGACACTTAGAACACATGGCGTCACGTCGAGGAAGCGTACACGAAGAGTCATGACCCTTTGTCGAACTCGGCATTAACTCCTCGACCCACGGTCTTCAAAGCTCGGGGAGCTAGTGTACTATCCGTACCGCGAAGCCCAGCTTGAGCTCGGCATCACAGCGCAGAATGACATCGGATATGTGCCATGCGACATCGGCCAAGACAAAGGCCCATTATCTGAACAGGTCACAACTGATCTTAGGCCCAAAGCCCAGATAAACCCTAATTCACACTAAGGTACGTGCATTACTTATACGAGACCCATACATCCACAAACACTAACTTTAGCATCAGAGTCTCTTTTGCAGGTACCACCCGCACTTTGGAACAGCGAACGTACCCAGCGAAGGAGGCTAACCAATCTTGCCTAGCAGATCATCCCCTACAACCGATCTCCGGTAAGAACAGCTTTTGTGTCCATGCTACTCTTTAAACACTAAAAACACACATATGTGGAGAAAAAAATGATGTAGAATAATGGCACACCTTAATGAGAGACCTCATTTCTCCCTCTCAAACTTAGATCTTCTATATTCAAGTAGTCTCATTTTTTAAACTAATAGACTATTCTTTCAGAAGCTTATAATACACTACTTTTTACTAGAGCTGTCAAAATAGGCTTGGCCCGGCGAGCCAACCCGGCTCACCACGGGTTCGAGCCGGATTGGGTTAAAAAAAATTTGAAAATTTTAATACAGGTTAAATTTGAACCCGACTCACCACCAACCCGGCTCACCACGGGTTTGGGAGATCGCGGGTTGAACCCGTGGTGAGCCGGGCTGGCCCACCAACCCGTGATTAAATTTTTTTTTTGAAAAAATATAATAATTATTGGGTCATGGTGCAGTCCAACATGAGAAATAATAATTTAATGTTGGATTGTGATTTGTAATTTTTGTGATTTTGGATTGTATTTGAAGTTTAAGATAATTTTGGATTATATTTATCTATTTGAGATTATTTAGATTTGATTTGATTGTATTTAAAATTATCATTTAATGTTTGGGATGAATAATTCATTTAAGGATGTCTTAATTAAGAATCTCAGATTTTTAAAATAAGTTTAAATTTTTGGGCTTTAGTTGTATATTAAGAAAAAAAAATTAAAAAAATTGTTTTTTTTTAAGGTGAGCCAACCCGTTTAACCCACCAACCCGTGGTGGGCCGGGCCGGGCTCGATTTTTTTGAGCTCACTGATAAATGAGCCGGGTTGGGTTGGCCCACCAAATGGCCAACCCGTGGTGGGCCGGGCCGGGCCGGGCCGGGTAGCCCGTTTTGACAGCTCTACTTTTTACCCAACCATGCATTATAGAATGAATACTTGTAGAAGACTAATCTGTAACAATTTTATCATAAGCCACACATGAAGTAGTTCTCATATTTTTTGTTAACACTGAAGCAAATTGGTCCTAATGGTGTAGGCCAATAGCAAGCTAATGCATAATGTTTCATAGTGACCATACTTTTTAGATTTATTAAATAAATCCAATTTCCTCATTTAATCACAGTTCCTACTAAGCAAATTGAAGATATTTTGATTGTATTATGCATAGATGAAGATATTATAAACTAAAAAATTAGTCATTTGTTGCCATGTGTGAACAATGTTTAGGTAGAAGGGTTAAGAAAAAGACCATGTGAGGTTCCACAAACTCTTTGTTGGGGTTGCATGATTTGAGGCTTTAATGCTCGTTTGGTGGTCATCTTTACCAACTAGGCCCCTTCTTTATTTTTTCCATCTGAAAGATACTCGACTCTTTTTATCTGGTCATGTAAATTTTTGTCAACTCATATTAGTAACATGATTTAGATGCTTAATCTTCTAATTGGTTTATAATCATATAGGCATTCTCAGCTTCCTTCTAGGTTAGAATTAGATTATTGTTGCAAATCCCCCTTTAATGATGTATTTAATTTGCTTACATTTATTGGTTAGATATAAATTGAAGAAGGAAAAATGACCATTTCAATTTTCCTAGACTTGCAATATTGCTATGAGGTTGAGTTTTGAAAGTTTTTGAATGACACTACCAAAGCAAAAGCAATGTCATGTGCTATGCTTTTATTTCTCAAATACTTTAAGGGCCAAGAACTTCTAGTTGTTTTGCAAGACTATGACTACTCATTAGACATGTGGACTCTTGGCTACATGTTTGTTGGAATGGTGAGAATTACTACTATAGGCTACTACTTACTAGATATATGTGACTTACCCTTGGCGTTATTTAATATGAAGTCAAATTTTGAATCTACATGTGAAAAACGGTGAAATTCTAGGTTATGATCCATTTACTTCATGTAGATATTTTGCAAGGAACTTTATTTTATGGCGACGACAACCACAATTAGTTTGTCAAAATAGCTAAGGTAACATTCATGGTGGTTCAGTAATATATAAAAATCACAAAATTATCATGTTGATGTTATGCAAGTTAATCTTAATTTTAGTTTTTGATTATAATATCTTGTCTTTTCATTTTAAGGATGTTTACTATATATATATATAT